TTCTAATACGATGGAAGACTATACGGTGGGAGGATTATGAGCAGCGAAAACTAGCCGCGTCCGTCGACGACGGAGGCCTTGACAGATCTCAAGCCTCCGAACTGACGAGCAGACCCACTCGGTTTTCCTCCAGCTGACGTGTGTTTAGGTTCCGTAATCTCTTTGTTCCTCTTCTTGGTATTATTCTCCCCCGTCTCACTTGCGGTCCTTCCGTTGGCCGTCGAGGGCGAGTGATGGTCGCTAGTCCTCTGACTGCTCATTGTCCTCGCGTCTAAGAAATGATCATCATCAAACTTGTCGCTCAATTCGCTCCTTTGACTTTGTGCGTCGTCACTGGTGCGATCTGCCGACGGGTTTGGACTCTGTTTGATGCCCGAGTCTACGTCTTCCGGGGTCTACGGAACTTCCACCGGAACCCTAGGCCCGGGCAGGAAGTTTTCGAACGAAGTTTGAGAGGAACAGATTTGAGACTCTCGTGAATCCCACATCCCCTTTTTTCTATCTCTCGTCTCTCGCCTCTCGTCGCCGATATAAGATTGCCACACTACGAAAATGGGATCCCGGGGGCAGCGGTACGGTAACCTGAAGATTATCCGCCCGTAGGTCTAAAACCGAGCGATTGCGCGCGGATCGGGGCGCGCAGAAGAAAAAGCGCGCACTTGTCAGCCAGGCTCTTATGGAGTCATCAAGTCCGTTGAGCCGTCTAGTAGTGGGAAACGACGGCTGAACATCTCTTGTGAGGTGTGCGCTCATGTCGGACGTGGCAAGTCGGCGGATTAATCGCTTGGATTGTTTCAAAACAATTATCGAAAACACTTCTCTGTTGAAGATCTGGTTTAACTTCTGAGTTCGCTATGGCAAGCTTCATTGTTGAGTCTCTGGGTAAGTTCCAGCTATTCCCGCCGACGGAGATTAAACCGAAACCCAAATCGTGTGGGAAGCTCAGTTCTATATGTATCAATGTTTCCGCATAACGCCGGCATGCACGTGCTCGCGCGGGAACTCCATATCCCGATACGGCATGGGGTCGTTGTCGGATGAGCGAAAGTTTTTTTCGTCGAAGTCGACGAAGTTCTCCGCGCAACCTCCTCGAATAAGTCATTCGGAAGAATTGCGAACTCGAGCCCGGAAGTGGAATTCGGCTTGGGTATTCAACAATCACGATGATCCAAGTTGCGCGAACCCTCCGTCGCTGTAACGGTGGCAAGCCGGCGGTCTCCAGGCATTATCTGTTCGTGTCGTTCCGCGTCTCAGAGGACCGATACTCCGGTTTGAATTCATGAAAGGGTTACGGAGCGTCTTTTCTCTCTGCGCGACGAGCGACCGGCGAAGGGTGTTGGAATGGATTTCAATTGGCGTCTGAATGTGTTTGATCTCCGTCAGTTTGATCGTCAAAGCGGAGACTCCCTTCTCAAGAAATATGATTGTCGCCAATTTATGGCGGGGAGCCGCTAGATAGGAACGGTAAAAAAATGCCCGGCTTGTTCAATCAGGAACAACAAGCGTCGCGGAGGAGCACGCCTTCTGACGTCGTCGTCAACGTTGGCTTTAGGATCGCGCCATTCTGAATCGGAGGCGACGGCTGCGAGCTCTCCTCATGGCTCGAATGGCTACGACAAGAATTGTTTTTGGATTCATTGTATTCGCCTCTAATTGTTCTAGCGATGAACTGTTTCGGGAATCCAACGCAGAGCTGAATTCAACCTCCTCAATTCCCTCCCGGTTCAGATCCCGAGACATTTTGATGCCAAACTCCGCCGATCCGCTTGTGGGAATTCGGAGCCGAGCGGATCTGATCCGGCAATGTTGACGGTTGACGTGATGCCATGACATTCTCTCGCTAGATTTACTATGTTTATAGTAGGTGTTTATCAATATCTGCTCGCGCGTATCCTTCCGCAACCTTCCACCCCCCAACGAAAGGGCATACGACAAGACCTTCGAAATCCTGGCGAGCTCCCTTTCGAGCTTGAGATCATCTCTCGCTACGCGAATAGCGAATCGTATGCGGGGGGCGTGGGTTCTTTCGGTATTTCTAGTTTCTTCGGATCGCCCTTCCCAGATATTTAGGCACATTTCCTCTGATGGAACACTATCTGGCCGGATGCGTATGTGCCCGGAGGGGATATTTCCCGCTGACTATCTCGTCGCATTTCGAGAAGGAGTTAAAACGGAGCTTGAAGGAGATGAGGATATCGGCTCTGCTGGGATAGGGACTAACGAGGAAGAGACAGGACCAAGTCCTCACGAAACTCGGGATTAGATATCGAGGATAGGAAAGGAGTGCGGACTGTAGTCCTTTCCGTTCTCCGTGGAAATCCTTTTCGTCTCCCTCTTTCCTCCGAGCGGACTCCCATCGGGTTTCCCCGCTTCAGTCTTTCGTATTCTTCGGTTCGTCTTTTTTCAGAAGCGTAATCCCACCCCCAAACCTCCTCCTCTGCTCTGAATCCCGCTGCTGTCGCCGCCGCCGCCACCGCTGTTTCCTCCCTGCCACCCCTCGGTGGATAATCCAGCTCTGTCCGAAGCTCCTCTGCTGGCAGGATAAAAATTTCAGTTTCATAACGTTGGACGTCGTTGAGAACTGCACAGTTTGAGCCGGCACAGAAAGGGATCATCCGGATAAAGCCCACGCGACGCCCTGGGGCTCACTCGTATAGCCGCCACCGCCCCTCGCCGCCCCCGACCCCCCTCCCCTGCCTCGCTCACCCTCACAGCCCTCCAACCTAACTCCTGCGCCAGCATTTCCCAATATCGCCCTCTTCCGACCAGCCATATTCGATTCCCTCCCCTTTCGCAATCGCCTCTCCTGTTGTCTCCCTACCCCCGTCCGGGACTCATTCCCCTAAACCGGAACCCTAACTCCGCGACCGCGGCCGAGTTTAGTGTTATGGGTGGCATGCTTCCCACGGCGCCGCGCGCGAGATTATTCTCCACGGTGTTTCAAGGAGTTTCTATCGAAGAGAACAAATGCGATTTCAACGATCCTTACCTACTACACAGCACTACTAGTCGGCAATCTCGCGACGCATATAGTTTATGGTCATGCCTGAGCGGAGATCTCGGGGCTCGCACCCAGATCGAAGAGCCATGATGCCTCATTGAGACGGTTCATCATCCGCGTAACAGATTAATCGGTTATCCAAGCGTCTTCCTGTTGAGGCTGAAATTCCCCATGGACTCCATTCCGTATATTTTCCCATGGACTGTTCCGTTTGTCGGAGAGAGCTTTTTTTACGCTTCAAGCACACGACGTACTTGAGTTCCAATTTGCGGTGTCGGTACTCCACCCGTTGCCGAGATTGCTCGCTTGGCTTTGGCTTCGAGCGAATCTGAATCACAATTGTCCGCCGACCGCAACTGTCACTGACACCGATACTCACTCCGTCAGTCAGCTGGTCTCACGAATCAGCTGTCTAGACAGCAATGGGAAGAAGAGCGGCATCTCCCGAACAAGAAGGAGTACTAAACTGTGCAGTCCTTTGTTGTGTACGCGGCTTGAGGGAGCGACCGCCGAAGGTGGGACCATCGAGTCGCTCGAGAGTGTTCTACGCTGCTCTACCGAACTCATCCCGACGACGAACAAACGCTGTTGTAAACCTCAAGGACTTCACAGCAGGATGTAGCGTTCCCATCTCGTTCTGACTCTCTCGTCGTCTTGTTCCCCTGTTTTGCACTGGCGCTCCCCCTCACTCTGGCCGGCGAATTCGCTCTGCTCTTTGATATGACTCAGATTATCCCCGAGCAGCGATGCAAAAGCTTCATTTTGAGTCAATGAGGCAGGCGCTCGCTCCACTATGAACTACGCCGCCGCTATCAGTTGCTAGCACCCGCGACTAAAACACCCTCCACCCGCCGATGCCGCCACTCGACTCGCGCTTGACAACCACGGCGGCTACGACGAGCTCCGCTGCTGCATCCACTCCTGGCATCCGCATCGTCGTCGTCCTGCTCCTGGAGCGCAACGACAAAACATGCATGAAGCCCACACCGTGAGAGGTCATCATCGGCGCCGCGATCTCCTATCAGTCAGTCAGTCAGTTGTTCACTCACTCGCTCGCTCGCCGGAGTGTCCCTACAGAAGAACGCAGCGAGCCCGGGCGAGCCCAGTTCTCCTGTTGGACCGGCACCGAATGACCTGAAGTTGTGCGGTCCGCGCGACTACGCAGGATCGTCATCAATATCAACTACGGCGCTCTTGTTGATTAGTTCTTCGCGGGCTACGTCACTCCGGCGCGGTCTCGAAATGTCGAGAGCCCAGGAGGCCAGCAGGATATCTGCTCCTCTCTCTTCCACTCTCGCACTATCCGCGCTCCTAGCCCGCTCTCCTCGTCGCTACTCACTCTGTCGTTAGATCCTGACTCATAATCCAGGGTATGATTGACAAGCGGCAGAGGAAGACAATGCTAGCGCTCCGGCCGAGCGACCGGCCGGCCGGCTGGATTATTCAACTCTTATCCTCCCGGCGGTGTTCTAAGACGAGCCGTCACTTTCGATCCAATGGATTCAGCCATCCGACCAAAGTCGGACTCTTACGTTAGAAGCCGGTCAGGCGCTTGCTGCTCGCGCCTAACGAGGTCTAAAAGCTTCGAGGGAAAGCAAGCCGGCGAGCCGAGGACATCGTCATCGACGTCGTCGTCTTTTTCCCCGTCGCGTCGTCTTGAAACTTCTCTCGGAACGACGCTTTTTCGAACAGGCGATTAAGTTACGAACAACTGCTCTGACATTCATTTCGTTTACTGTCGAAAGCAATCACGTGCGCTCGCGTTGAGAAATGCCCGCATCATTTTTAAGTAAAGCCCGTCTTAGACCCATCCTCTCGCTCACGCAGACTCTCGAACGCTGCTCTTGAATCGATGCCTCGAGTCGAGTTCCGTCGCTTCCTTGAATCCACTCATCGCGGGAATTCCTGATTTTCTTTGTCTCGGTCAGGGGAGCCGATCTCCATTTCGATGTGGTATATATTAGTCGCAGTAACTCATCGAATGCGTCCTTCCTTGCAGGAAAACCAGCCGTGCCCGTTCACTGTGTCGTCGAGCTGAGCGGGGCCGCGTGTCAAGAACTGGGACAACCGAGTCAGGAGCCCAAAGTCATCACAGATGGCTATGCGATCCTTCCGTCGAACACAACTCTCAATAATTTGGTGTCGATAGCACTAGAGAAACTCGGAATTTATGGCGAGGCCACGCCAGCGAGAGGTATGTACCCCTTCCCTGATCCAAGATCTTCCTCGCGGCTTTCAGATTTCCATCAAAGGCGGGGAGAGATACAAACTTCACTATAATGTATCCATCATCCACGACTTCGGAGCTGGACAGTGGTGGGCCAGTATTCGGGGAGCTTTGGTCACCTCGTTATATGATCCGAAATCTGATGATCGGGGTCCCATTGTTTTGTGAGGAGTTGATTCTGCTCCACTGAGTTAGCTTTTTGGATGAATTGCTCTGACAGGCAGGCGGGCTGGTGTTAAGCGAATGAGCGCACGATCTGCCGAAGCGTCCGACGACTCCAGGAACCACTCGGCTGGTCCCTCAGTCAGTCAGACAGTCAATCGTTGCGTCGGTCGTAGGGTTTCTGCTGAGGATTAAGAGAAACAACATACAGAAGCATCTAGCGATTAAGTCTAACTAAGCTCTGAGCCTACACACGATGAACAGCGGAGTGAGCCCGGGATCCGTCCAGGCGAACCTGTGTCGCTTGTTTTTATCGAAGGTTTCGTTTTGCAACGGCCCCCTCAGAGGGACCTGGAAACCTCGATGTGTCCCCAGACTTGTTGCGCTCGTGAATATTTTCAGCTTCAGTCGAGGTACATTTGTGTTAATATGAGAGTCGGTGCGTCCGGGGGATAAATAGTCGTCGATAGGCAGTCGGCTCCGAGGGTTTGCTAGGCCGACGGGTTGGCGGAGAAATCAGCGAAGACGTCGCTACCGACAACAGCGTCTACGTCCAACTCTCCGAAAACGAAGGCGAGATGCGACTTCGACTTCATCCCCCTAGGGATTACGAGATAAGGATAATCTTGTTTCGAAGACAGTGCTCCGGTTCTCGCTGCCCTGATTCAGCGTGACCCAGCAAAAACGTCGTGTGCCGTCGTGAGGGTATATCTTCGAAAGCGCGGGCAACGTTCCATATTTTGAGCCTGATGTGTAACTTCCCTGTTCTGTCTGTGAGCTACTCGTATCGCGCATCGGCCGTGGAGTTCTATCGGGGAGATGGCCGAGTGTGGACGCGAGTTCACCGCGTGTCGCCGCATCACCCTCTGGAAATTTGGGCGAGTTGAGCGACGCGAAATCCTTCGACGGGAAGCTAGCCGGCCGGCAAGCAGGCAAACCGGCGGAATGAAAGACAAACGCACCGACGCCGACGGGGCATGTCCGTCGGGACTCACGACGAGCTCCGAATTGACTCGATCGAAAACAAGCCTACATGTATCCGGCGTCAGCAGCAGCTTTTGGTTGCTGCAGTTGTCTACAGCTGGTCCGAAGTTCTGGCACGGCGTACGCGAGCACGGCAGGTTATCTACATTGTAGCGCTCACGACAAAACACCCCTCGGGGATGCAGCTTGCTGGCTCGCTTTCCGGAGCAGCTTCAAAAGCATAAGCCGAGCCACTATCGATAAAAACAAAGCTCATTGTATTTGTTGTAGACGTCGACGCTTTCGCTGCCGCCGACGCTAAGGCCATACGCAGGTGAAACAGCAGGTGCAGAGCTGTTAAGCCATCTTCAAACGGCGCTCACCAATACCAAATCAAACCCGAGCCTCGACCTAGAGGGAAAAAGATGCAATGAATCCAGGGACAGGCGCGACTCCGTCCGATTACTGCGTAGCAGAGATTCCCGAGCTGTTCGTAGGCGTGTGAGAGAATGGTAACCTTCCCGAGGCCGGCGAGCCCCGCTTCACGTTATCAGCACGAGGTTGTTGCTGGGAGCATGAGCCCCCGGATTCCTCCCACGCAGACAAGTCGCACATGAGTCCGACAATGGGCTGGACTTCTAAATACATGAAGCGGATATTGGAACTTCCGTGTGAATCATTATCCGAGCTCTGGATCCGGAGCTATCATATGAGATATCGACTATGACGTATGGGCGCTCCTCGGTCGCAAGCTCCGCGCTAGCAGACAACACCGACTACTCGTCGAGGATGGAGAGCGGAAGCTTATCCTGTGGCATGGAGCGGGCCTTCGGTTCTTTTTCGTACTTTAATCTCTCTAGCCGGAAAGGCTGTACAGCTCTACTACAGGGAGAGTGGTCCTCTGAAGCCCCTTCTCCGACGTCCCTACCCCTCTGCCCCGCCCCATCGCCCACTCGAGATTCCCCGATGAACTCCCCCTGCCTTTCAATGCAGAACTCCTAATCCGGTTGCTCTTCGCTCAGCCTACCCTAGGCCCGACGAGCGTTCTTTGTGACAGCCGATTCTACACTCTGAATGTGTTAGTGTGCCTCCTGCTTTGGTTTTCGAGTATCAGGCAGGTGAGTTGTCCGTGAGTTTACCCGGATGGGTGGTCGGGAAAGATTTTGTTGTCTCCGAGTTGGTTCGTATCGTTGGCTAGACTTCACCCCCCCCCCCCCCGAAACACTAGCTTCGATAAATGCACTCAAGTACCCCACCGAACGCGTGAGTTTAGTCGTGGGTGTCGGTGTCGTCGTCGTCGCAAGTGGCCGAGGAACCACTAGAAATTCAATTCTGATGCATGAATAAATGAATTTTGATCAGGAATTTACGGCCTTGTGAAACATTCCATGGGCGCGGATGGTCTCGCACACGTTATTTCGGTTCCATGCCGCTAACGAAGCTGCTTCCTTATGAATGCGCCATGTAGAACAAGCGGCGTGATGAGCCTGGTCGCATGCGTCTTTTCTCATACGAGGAATCGTCGCTCATGGAATTCGCCGAAGGACCATCGCCGACCGACCCCTTGCGAAGCCCCAGCAGAGTAGGCGCACGTACCCAATGGAACCCTTCGCCTCACAGGACCGTTGTTGGCCGCTCGTGCGCCCGCTTGTCTGCGTTCCCATTTCTCTCTATCCACCCCTGGGGGCCGTTTTAGTTTATTCGCAACGTGCGCGCTTCGCGCCGACCCCTTCCTCGCTCGGCTAAAAGAGGATTATCCCATGTTTGTTCCCCAGGATGGATCCCGTAGTACCCTGCGCGTGGCAAGCCGAGCTACCCTTGCCCCCATCTCCGGTGGGGCTTTGCGACATGCAGAGAGAAACTGCTGGTGGAACTGTTTGGCTGAATGCCTAGCGAGCGGACTCGCTGAGCTAGTCGAGGGCTGAGCTTGCTCTATAAAGGCTTTCTGTATAGAGGCTTTGAAGTGAATGCTTAATCCTTCCCGGTTTAGAGAATGGCGGGCCAGATATGTATGGATGAATGTACCGCAGTCAGCTGTGCGGTGTAATGCCTATGACAAGAGCTTGCGACGTTAATAGCGGTGTCCCCGTCTCAAACGATTGGTGGGCAGCAGACTCCGGAAACTCGTCCCTTTCCCCCTCCCGACCAGAAGATGATCTCCTCAACCTCGGACAGCGAATGGCGATCGGGGGGTTTCCTGACGCTCGGCGTCTGTGAGCTCCTTGCGATGCGATACCTTCGATCATCGACGCTGTATTTTCTAACAGGAGATGGTAGGCATGGACATCTGATTCGGTACGCTTGGCGTCTCGGTCGGGAGATGGAACGAGGGGAGTTCGGGAAGAAATGAGATTTCCCGAATGGCGCTGAGCATGGCCTGCAATCTCCAAACTCGGAAAACCGTCATGGCCCGTCGACGGACAAATCGATGAATAACAATGAACGGAGACGACGTGTTCGGTGAAGAAATCCAATGGAACTCTTCACTATTCCTTGGGTGACGTTGACAGCTAATTACTACATTTTCTCAATCTTATATTTGCTCTGGTCGTCCGTTGTCGTTCGTATAAGCAGGCAGGAGATTTCCATGGAAGAAAACGACATATCGCAGGTGGGGCCCGAATGAAATTCGGAGAGATCGAAAAAGCTCAGCACCGACGACCGTGAAGGGCGAGGGGTACGACGACGACGAGTACGAGGAATACTACTCTACTGTCAGCCGGCCAGACAGTCAGTCAGGCAGGCAGGCAGGCGGGCAAGCAGCAAGTCAGACAGGCGGCAGGAGAGATGGACGGACTGATCGGTTGTCATTCGGAAAAGTTTCATAATTTCTCCGAAAGAAACGCCAGAGTATTGTTCGTCTTTTTCCCTTCTTCATCTCCAAGTGATGATGAGCGTCAAAGAAGAAGCAGGCCGACTCGAAGGTTCAGGCGGGAGAAATCAGTGAGGGCTGGAAGGGGGACGGGGAGAAGGGAATACGAGGGAGCAGAAGGCAGCCTTCCTTTACACCACCGTTAAAGATAATACCTCATAGAAGAGTCGTTCTCTTTCTCCCACGCACACCTCAATTCCTCCTCTCAAAAATCCTGATTTTGATCCTTCTTCCGCGAAACAGCAAATCGGCACAATTGTGATTCGCATCGAAGAACTGAGCACCTCTCGCTTTCTTTTGCCTCATGTCCTCTTAGCATCTCTCACTTCTTTCCCCCAACGCTACCCCCCCCCCCCAGAGCCATTGAGCTCCGCAGTCCCCCCGGGCGCGGGAGCAGACCGGCATGGTCGGGACGGGTTGATGCCAGTGAGAAGCCATCGAGAAATCTTGCGAGGATAAAGTGCAATGGCAACACGATTTCAGCGACGAGGTTAGACGCTCCGTCGTCCTCCTCCTTCTCCCGCCTGATTCAGGGATGCGCTTTCGCGCCGCATTTGTGTTTTCGCAAATTCCGAGTCACAGCGGCGACGGGAGCGCAGCGAGAACAAATGATGCGCGAGGATTAAGAATTATGCTCTGTCAGCGAATTCCTGCTTCTGAGACAATGCATATTCGGCGGCTGCGGAAGCAAATCTGATGAAGACGACTGTTATCGGTATCTCTTGGGTTATTGGCTGAACATCTTGGATGATTCGGAAATGCGACGATGAGCCTGATCCCGCTCCTACGGTGTTGCGGGGAAGAGGAATTCCCCGCGCCGTGAGACATCCGGCATATTCTCGGCGGGCTTTTTCATTCGCGGCGAATTCCCCAGATTTTTCATCGACGATCGCGCCGGGACTGTTCATGATCTCGAGTCGATTTGAATGAAATCGCAGTTCGAGAATTCCCGGAGGGAACCCGCAAAACGCACAGTCACTCCGTCAGTGACAAAAATGAGATCAGTTCGAAATGATCCCAGTGAGAGAACGTAACGCGCGAATTCTCCGAAATCATTTGCTGGAGGTAGCAATCGAGTCCGGGCTTGTTATGCAGATTTAACGAAGTGTTGCTTCTCTCTGTTAGTGATTGTGCGCGGATTTTTTCTCTCGCTCGCTCTCTAGAACACGACATTCACACCAGCTGGACGGTGTCTGCGAACGTCTCTGACAAGCGAATCAGAGTATTTTCCTATTACCGGCTCACTTTGCAGAGTGCCGCGAGACCGCGAGCACACGTGTTTTATCCTTGTGAGCTACCCACGAAAAACCGCACAAAACATTTGCAGAAATCACCAACACTTTGCGGCGGTTGCGGTGGAGTCGGGGTTTCCGAGAATCGGAACTGCTCGAGAGATGTAGCAACACAAGCGATGCGGACGGGCTCGGGGTTCCAACAGCATGATCTTGGAAGTGATTCTGGAACTTGATCACGTTAATTTTGGCCAATCATCGGAACCTTCCCCGCAGGATCCGCGAATGCGTTCGTTCGGAGCATTTGACGAGTTGAACCAATCGATAGATTTCATCGAGCCGCACCGAATCGAATCGGAAAAGCGTTATTGAACTACGCATCGAGATCGGACGCCGCGCCGCCGAAGAAAAAGCGAAAAATTCGTACCCGAGCACTTCGGTGTTCCCAGGAGCAGCGAGCGAAGGAGCTCGCGAGCCAACGAACGAGCTCGCTTCAGAAGTCGACATCCGAAATGTTCGAATAGTATCGCGTCAAGCGGATCGGGGATCATCCGGTCCGCTTCGGCCTACTATGGAAGGGAATTAACGTAAGCAGGATTGACAACGTTAGAACAAAATGAAGAAACCTTGGAAGAAATGCGCTTCTTGCCGCCCGCCGCCGCTGCTGCTTTCGTTCGTTCGTTCGTTCGGTTGGTCGGGCGGTCTTTCGGTCGAACGCTGAAGATACACCGCGACGGCCGCTCGCCCGCTCGCTGCCGCTATCTCCGCGGATTTGCTTAATCTGCAACGGATTTAGTCGCGGAGCGCGGGCCAGAATCACGTCACAGGAGATGAAATTCTCTCGTTCTTATTCATGCAGAAATTTCATACAGAGAATGATTCCATCGAACTGTGGGTTTTCGCTTGCGCGGATCGGTCTCCGGTTCCCGCGTATGCATCACTTCGAAGTGGATCGTAAGTCTCCATGCGATATCGGCTCAACTGTCCAGAAGTAGAAGATTATTTACTCGGAACCGAACGCCAGTAGAAGTCTGACGAACTTCTGGTGTATTCAAATGAGCACCAAATCTGAAATTATTCGAGTGCGCGTAGGCGTGAGGGCCCGGCCCAACAAACGCCCGTTTCGGGAACGTCTCCAGGAGAGTTTCCGTGGAAAAACGCATTCCGCAATCCCGTTGCGTTATGCCTAAGTAGTGGGGATTGTTCCTTAATCTTCCGGACCCCATTTTTGAATGTTTTCTGGAGCCATTTTTCCGTAAATGAGTCTTGAGATCATACGGTAGCCGTAACATCGATCCGGATATCGGGACGCCGAGCCGATCGAACGAGTCGGGCATGATTTAAAGCGATTAGAACGTGCTTCCCGGACTTAATCCGCTCAGAATCCGAGGAGACCGTCTGACGCAAAGCACACGTCGTGATTATTGAACTGAATTCGGTAACTCGAACGCAACTTTTCTGTTCCAGGCGCACTACAGATCAAGAACTGGAAGCCTCTCGGACTGGAACAAATAACCGAGAACCTAAATAGCGCAACAGTCGGAGAGATCCTCTCAGATCTTGGCCAACTGGTTACTCTGAGAATAACTTTACTAAGGTGAGTGATTGGACCGAATCTGGCGGGTTTGACGCGGAATTGAATTCGAAATCTATATCCATCTATCAGATCAGTAGGATTAAATACGAGATCCGACAGATTTTTCCGTATCGAGGCCCGTGCGGTGCCAGGATCGATACCGGTATATTTCCGTCCAGGAATTACGCATGACGAATGATTATTATTCATTATCCCGAGAACTTTTTCTTGCGTGTCATTAGTCTGACTTGGGCAGAGATGCCGAGCACTCGACAGAAGGAATTCTTCACAAGCCCACGCGATTTTCTCACGAGAGTCGATAAATATGAAATCCAACTTCACAATCTGAGAGGTGTTATTTACCGGAAGGAGATTGGGTCGCGCTTCGAATCGGGGGAAGCATCGCTCATTTCAAAACGCAGCAGGATCGATTCCATGGACTTCCAAAAGTCTAATGTTCTTCGTAATTGCAGCTTGCCATCGATGGAGAATGAGCGACCTGAAGAGTCGGCGATTGCGTGCCAAACTGTGAAAAGGGTGAGTTGTGCCAAAGTGGTCCACTACGTGTTTCGTATGTTTTTCTCGCTGCCCCCTCCGTATCGGACCGCTCGTCCGAGAGGCCAGAGACGACGTGTTTGTTTTTGGGTTTTGGGTTCACGGCGAATCGTCTGGTTGACAAAGACAGGCACTGCTGTCGGCGCTCGCAAACGATGAAGTATGGCGCTCGGGTCGCAAAGGGGTCAGAGAAGATCCTAGCAAAACGAATGAGCGACCTCAAGTTTTGAGCGAGCTTTTTGAAGGATTAATCGGTCCACATTGCGTGAATCTGTGCCGAACTTTCACCGGGACGGAGAAGAGTGCTCGAGGAGGAGAATCCAGAGGAGCCTCCTCGTCGAGGACAACAACGGCGACGGCGACAGCCAGGAGTAGGTATTGCCGAATCTGCTCCCTCCCATCTTCGTAAAGCAAGGAAAATGTGGGTGTATCGGGATCGGTGACGGCAGCCATGGTGACGGCACGGGGCAGTGGAGCGAGTGGAGCCGGCTTGAAAAAGTTTCGAGCGTAGTCAGTCCCGTTTATACTTCTTCATAGTCCTCTTCGTTTGGTACGGTATAGCCGTCGTTTGTCGTCGTCGTCGCCGTCGTCGTTGTCTTTCTCTTCTCGGTAGAGATATGGCTTACAGGTACTTAGTAACTAAGCCTCCTTAACATGGTTGGCGATCATAATTATCTACACGGCACAGGGAAAGAAATATTGCTATCAACGAAGACGAAGCCGCTGCCGCCGCTCTCCCTTCACCCACCGTCTCGTGTTCTCCTTCTTCTGCGTTGCTCCTGGCTCTTCTTCATATAATCTTTAATCCGCAAAAAATGATGAAGAACAGGACGACAACGCAGCGGCGGCAGGCAAGCAGATTGGCGGACCAACGGGCGGGCTTAATAGTCTTGATTAGCTTCACGGACCTCCTGGAAGTCCTGACCAACCGACTCGGTAGCTGGCGCTGAATCTCTCTTGTTAAATTCTGAGCCGGGTTGCTATCGACGCAGCCGGGGGAGCGGCTCCTTTCTCGTCTGGCTGCCCCTCCTGAGCCCCTCGCTTGTATCAGCCTGTGGCGTGGTCCATGTGCCGTGAGCCGGGAGTCTCCATATTATTTTATCCTCATCTCACTCCTGTCATCATCTTCGCCATAATCGTCTCGCTCGTCCTCGGTCGGTCGCGATGGCTGGACTCGACGCAGGTACAAGGGCTTTGCTTTGAGCTCCCAGCGAACTCTCTCGCGCCTCCTCCCGTGGAAACCGCATCCCCAGGATATGGATGATATCCTCGATTCCTCCAGATCTTGCGGATGGGAATCCCGTGTGCATATGCGGGGTGCTGCCTCTCGATATCACGGAATATCCGCGCAACTTGTGCCAAAGACTCAGAGGGGAACGAATGCGCTTTCCACGCTATTTCGGATGTCGAAGAATTCTCGAATAATATCGAATGATTACCCCGTGTACCTATTTCTGCTTCATCCGAATGCCAAATCGTATCTCCAAGCTACGTCCTGTGGTGGTGAACTCACCCAGCTAGTAACGGCATTGGTGGCTCTGGCGGCGATGATCAGGGCCATTTGGGCCGGACGCTGCTCACTAATCGCCCGCTGGATAATTTGCTGATTATCTCGAGCATACGCTCGCTCGTGCCAAAAGCGGATATTGGAAGGGATCTGTGGCTGCTTTCCCGCGATCAGACGGGATCCAGGCGTTCGGAGCGCGTCTTGCGCGTGTCGCGAATCATGCCTCTTCCAGAAGAAACGTCTGATCTGCCACGTGATCTTCGGGAGCGTCGTGTCGCAGTCGGCGAACGCGACGACGGGGATAATGAAACGGCACGCTTCAAAGCGGGCTTCGCGGAAGGACTGGAACAGAGACGGGTGGTGGCGGTTTAAGCATGCTAATAAATTTTTTCTTCACTTCATACATTAAGCTGATCAAGGAGAAGACTTACCGAGGAGATCCGTTCGTCGGCTCGGCCGCCCGCCGACCGCTCGTCGGGCAAAAATCGGCGACTCAGTCAAGCAGCTTCGTCTTTAGCGTTCTCATCTCGTGCGTGTGTGATAGAGAGGGAGATCGTGTTTTTTTCTCATATTTTTTTTGTATCGAGAAGGAAAAAGAGGTTCTTGAAATAAAACCATCCGAAGGCTAGCGAGATAGAATGGCGGTAGCGGGGGCAAGACTGACTGAGAGGGATCGACGATGAAAGCCGCCGTAATGAATTTAGCTTCGTCAAAGATCCGCTTTGAGCTCTAAGGTCTTTGAAACTCCTTGAGGCCCAGCGGAGAAAAATGAGGACCAATTTGCGTACGATTCAAATGCTACACTCGAAAGGAGAACAAGCTGTCAGGGATTAATCAGTTTTCTGTTTCCATTCTCCCTCCAGGAGGAATTAGCTTTACCCGAGGAAACGGCAAGCGAAGACCTGAAGGAATCGTCAGCTCGAGATCTCAGCTCCAAAGACCTGATGATACTCAATCAGCTGCTCAACAAGCAACAGCACCAACAGCAGCTACAGCTCCAACAGCAGCAGCAGCAGCAGCAGCAATCGCCTTTGCAGCAGCAGCAGCAGCAACATCAACAGCAGCAGAAATCTCGACATTCGACGGATCGTTTCGCGAACCAGCTCCTCATGAACGCTGCGGCGCTTCAGAACCACATGCAGATCACGGAGGGCATGCCGGTTTCGTTCGGAAAAGCAGCTGAACTCTTCAGTAAGTCTCATTGTCCTTGGTTCCGAGTGAAGTTCCAAGAGAGCTCTCACTTCTACGTGTGAGGGTCGGAGATTTCTAAGGAGGTCTCCTCTTTTTCAGACAAAACGACAATCACAGAAAATGGTGTTTCTGATTCGATGTATCAGACACTTCTACAATCTTTCTCTTCAACCACGGATAAACGAACACCTTGCGGCTCCGCAATGTTTTCACCGGAACGACGCGATGAGATATTGAGAACGTTCATCGAGAACGCTCCCAAGCTCTCGCAGGGTCCAGGAGCAGCTCTGTCTGCTCACCTTGTGTCGCGGAAACGGCCAAACGAAAACGAAGTGCTCGACTTCAGTACCACACCAAAACTAAGCAATAATCTAGCGTCGCTAGCAAACAGCAACACGACCAACGGAGTGACCAAGTTCGACGACGAGAAACTCCACGCCAACAAGCCGAGGGTAAGTGTTGTGCCCAAGTGCTCCCGGGGTTGCGGGCCGTAATCCGGGGATACGGCTCCAGCCGAAAGCCGGAGCGCAGTCAGCCCGCTCGGAAACCGTCACGCACGGCTTGCCGGTCTCTGGGCTGTCTCGCGCTTCCAGCTCCATGCATACTCCTCCCCCCACCATGCTGATTCGATGTGATCTTCCTTCCTCAGGTTCGGACCACTTTCGATCCAGAGACGGAGGTGCCACAGTTGCACGCGTGGTTCCAGAAGGACCAACACCCCACACGGGCCCAGATTCAGGACTATGTTGAACAGCTGAACGCCGCTCGTCTCGCTCTAAATCGGGACAAGCTGCTCAATGTTAACAATGTGGTGTATTGGTTCAAGAATGCGCGAGCCGCTTACAAGCGTCGCCGTCTCCAGGAATCATCTGCCAACCATCTAGCGTCCGTCTCGAGCTTGGACAAGCTCGCATCGGCACACTCCCCGAATTCGATGCGAGGTGACATGGACAGCGAACACGAGGCCAGCGTTTCCCCTCCCCCGGCCAGCAACGGCAACAATAAGCTGGTGCCGATGTCGCATACGAGTCTGAACGCCGCGTTGCAGGCCGACGAGGCGGCAACGCCTCTCCTGGACAAGTGGAAGGAGTTCGAGTACCAGCGACGGCTAGCCGAAGCTCAACGTTGGCAGCACCTGGCGGCAGTGATGCGCGCCCAGCAGGCCCAGGTCGCTCACCAGACCCTCGACCTGAGCGTGAAACCCGTCAAGGTACAAAGTTGTTCTAGCGAGGCCGAAAACGACAGCGCCGACTCGTCGAAGGAGGGCTGCCACGCTCGTAATGAAAGCGATGCCAGCGACGACGACGACAACGATGCCTGGGAGAACCGAATAGCCAACGCCCAGGCCTCGAGTCTCGCGTTGTACGGTGCCGGAATGTACAGTAATGTCGCGATGCCAGTAGTGCCATTCCAGTCGTCGGGGGGGATTAACGTCAATCCCAACGCACAGCTTGAGGCTAGCGGCCGTAAGCGGAACCGCACTTTCATTGATCCCGTGTCCGAAGTGCCGAGGCTGGAGCGATGGTTCAGCGATGTGACCACCCATCCGCATCACGCTCAGATCGAGGAGTTTACGGCCGAGCTCAATTCGATGGAATACCGCCAGAAATTTCCCAAACTCGAGCCCCGGAACGTGCAGTTCTGGTTCAAAAACCGCCGGGCTAAGTACAAGAGGATCGAGAAATCCGCCAATTCCTCCATGGAGACGACAGTCACGTCCTAAAAGCCTTCCGGAAGCCGCCCCTCCCGCCACAGCAGCAGGATCAGTGAGCACCTCGTTTCCTTCTCCTCGTCGGCCTCCTCCCTTCCGCGGTCGCGTCCTCGGTGAAACAGACGTCGGCCGAGCTGGGAGGCGATTCGATCAATTCGAGAGCGAGTGAACTAGGCCAGTGAAGTGCCCACTAGCCGGGGGAATCGGTCCGCTTGAAACTTTGCCGACACTCGCCGCCGTAAGCCTCGACTCCAGCATCGAAAAATCGTTGACGGGATCCCCATTCTTTGTAGTGCATCGCAAGCCGCCATTTCCGGGACTATGGAGAAATTGGAGTCGCCGAGAGTCCTCCCCGTTCGCTTGAATTCGCTTGAGCATCGGAGACGACGTTGCGAAGTAAAACAAGAATGGTCTCCTCTTTTCTTCTCTTCGACGAGATGGACTTCCCTCGAACGAGACTCCCAGGTGTCTCCTTTTGGTGATCTAGTCATGCATTCCAAGCTGTGTGAGACGATTTACTGCTTTTCGCCCCACACGCATCCGACGGAAGACGGGGCAAGCGACCTCCAGATTCCGTTGCTTTTATCGGAAGGACACCGATTCCTGATTTCCTTTTTGAAATCGGCTCTTCTATTGCTGCGTCTCGACCTCGACGGCCAGGGCGAGGACTAAAGCTCACCTCGAGGAACGATAAGAAGAACAACCTCCTACGGGAACTCTACCACCTCCAACGATCACGACCAGATTCCGCCACCAGCTCAATTCGATACTTTCGACTCTCGCATTTATCTATGATTCACTGTCGAGATCCAATTGTTGACCTGTGCGGCCAGGTGTAATATCTAGGTACTGCATCTTCAGTCGGGGAGAAAGAACGGCCTTGTACGGCCGAAGTCGGTCCGATCGACCTCGAGCTCCTCGGTGGAAGAGTCGTTCGTTTACGATCATCATGCCTACAATAGTGATGTACCCACGGACGTAAGCGATCCTCTCTGGAGACAGGGTCGAGGATGACCGGTAACGGAAGGAGAGTCCGTATTTTGCTCAGTCTGAGCGAGAGGTCTACAGCTTTAAGCCGACAAGAGTCGCCACTACACCCAATCGAATCGTCAGATGAGCCCGCTTCGAGCACAACACCATATTCTCGCATGGTTTCCGAAATTCACCCGAATGAGATCAACGCAACGAAAATGAATATGGGGTCGTCTGTACCATTATCAATCATATTGTTGATCTCACGAACCGAGTTCATTGACTCTCCTCCTCGAATTCCCCCTGACGGCTATCGGTTCGAACGATTTACTCTCGCGAGCCGTGGGTTCCTGTTGAATTAATTCAATTTCTCGAATAGTTCTCATTAAAGACTGCCTCTCCTTCCAAGAGTCGATCTCTCCTTCATTTCCTTCGATGGTGTCTGATTCGAGCTCGATCTGTGTCTTCGCAATCGGGTGTAAGAGTGCGCTGTCTGTATTTAGAAGCAGCTAGATTACTGGCTACGGGAGTGACCTCCCGCATTCTGTACATAGGATATAAAAAGCGATAATGAAAATAACGATGAGCTCGTATGAAGTGAAGCCAGGATAATCTTCGACGGGAAAGAGACTAGACGTTGCTGTCGACTCGCCATCGAGAACAAAGCACTCCCTGACGATGTAGCTCCGATTGAACCAGCTCTCACCTGTACGGCAGGGAGAGTGGGCGTAAGGAATTCTTGATTACGAAATCGACGACGACAATTATTGTTATTATCATTATCGCAACTGATAAAACTATTACTAGGAATACTTCGCATTAGAATATTATCATTATATTAGCGACCATGATGATCAAAAAATAGTGTCGCTCCAGTCGCTATAGTCGACTCATTCCAACGCTCTCCGTGTGGAGGCGATGTACGGATTCAGAGGATGGGAGCGCCCATCAGCAAATGGCACCAAAGCACCGACACGAGTGGTGACAGTGAAGCAATACTTTTTTCTAGAAAGTCTATGGAAAGAAAAACGACGCTTTAAACTATTCTCTTCCCCCCTGAGTCATCCAGCTCCTTCAAAGATCCTTGAAAAGCGACGATGGAGGGGAGATGGACCCTGGATGTATTTCTTCCGGCATATTGATTATTCGGAATAACAACTCAAGGCTTCGTACGCTTCAATCGTACACAAAATACACACATTCATCACAGTGATACACCAAATACCGACAACAGTAATAATAAGTACCCGCACTCCTTGAACCCCAAAAATATTAGAACACTACGACCGCTAGAGGGCGGTCCTGTTTTTTTGCCGACTCATCTTCCAGTATTATCTAAAGCTCAGTTCGTCTCCATGCCCAGCTATTTCGCCATGAATTCAAGTATTGTGATGTCTCAACACGTTTATTAGGGTACAATGGCGATCGCCATTGTGATTGATCTATAAGTAATTATTAAAACTCTGGGGACTGTCGATAAGGCTTACTGACGCATCGGGCAATACAAACGTAGATTTTCTGAGACCATCAGTGTTATTCGACCGTTCTGATCCCGAAATGCCTAACGCACCGAGGAGTTCTCAGGAAATGCAACAAAGATCAGAAGCACCGTATCGTCAGCGCTCTCAGACTTTTCCCGATGACGGTCGGATAAATTCGCCAATCCTAATTTAGAACAAGCCTCGAGAAATGAATGGGAGAAGAGCCACCATCCCCTTTCGGACGAGGCGTCACAGTTTCGGTTAATTATTCAGGTTGGGATAACAGAATAAAGCAGGTGATGTTATTGTTCAGTTAAAAATGGTTGAGTTGCTTTGGAGCACTACTTTATTTATTGAATTATTTATTTTTCATTGACAACGATGAGTTCTCGCTTTGGCCCAAGCCTCATTGTGTCCCGTTACCGTCAGTACCGCTGTTTTTTCTCGCAAACTTCCCCCAACGGATTTCTCGATAACGAACAAATTCACCAGCCGCCTAATCAATTATGAAAATACTACCGTTGTAAGCATTTTGACTAGTGCTATGGGAAAAAAACCGGAACTCCTGAGAAAGGCGAAGATGTAACTCAATCGATGCAGAAACACATATATGGTTACTCAAAGACAAGCAGATAAATATACATACTTACCTAGCGAATGGATGCGCGAGCAATCCTGTATGTACACCTGTGCTTACGCCAGGCGTGCGGAAGACTTCTGTCAGGAATCGAACAATCCTCGGAAAGCAATAACTTCGATTTTTCCTACCTGCTACGCTACTCAAGGTCACGTCATCAACCGGTACTTGATATAAGAAATCATGATGGGACAGGAGCTCAGGTCTTAAGGGATGCTTTCTCGAGAATCCCGGAAGATTGAACGAAACCCATAGACACTTGTAATTTAGGCAATTAGACGAACTAGGACTCCGATCGTGTACGTAGATACAGAGGATCGTGACAATATCAGCTCGGGAGCATCGTGGACAAAGCATCCGAACGGAGACAGGAGACGAACGAAAAATTCATGCGAGATCCTCTGCAGCCGAATTTGGGACTCCAGGACATTCGGGAGTCGGGAATCACTCAGAGCGGTTCTATTCCGGAGCTTTCCGTTCGTGCGCAATGTCTGTGGTTTTTCCGACGCTTTGTCCTCGAGATAACGAAGACATCAATCACTTCGCGAGGCGCAGCCAATCAGCAATAATGATCAACGCGGAGAGGAAACGTTCCAGATTTTCTCTGCTTATCGTTCCGACACACCGTAAGCCCTGCGGTGACTGGACTAGTATGTAATAAGAAATGCTAGAATATTGTTTTGTATTTTTCAGTAGGTTACAACCGACAAGAGAACGAATGATGTGTCGAAAAGCAAAATGTGCCCGAACAAATCAATCAACAAACTGAAACAGACAGTCCGAATTAAGGAAGGACGAAAAATGACGGCAACCATCATGACAGGGAAAAAACACCAGCAACCACAGAATGAACGCAGAAAACCCTGGAAATAAGAAGATAATAAAGTCCGTCATGCTACAGGGATATTGTTGAGAAACGAAGTGTTTTCCTTTCCTCTTATCGTCAAGCGTGCAGTCCGAAACTTGGGGTAAATCTAGATGAGTTCATGAGCCAATGGATTACGCTCTCGGTATGATACATTAGGGAAACTCCGCTCTTGAAGCTGCTGCGATGCGCTCACAGATACGGATATGCTTCACGCTAAGTTTTGATATACAATAAGAAGTCTACAGACGCAATGTCGTCGACACCGCGAATTCACCGTCGTCGCTTCGCCGCGTCGACGTCAGGCTATTCCGAAATTCGGTACCACCAGATACCGTGAAGCGTGGAGAATGATGGTATGTAATCTGGTATCACTAGAAGCTTCGATCGCACATTGCACACACAGAACATTTGGTCTGATCATCGTCTTCTTACGATTAGTTTATTTGGACTGTTTTGCCATAAGCCGCGGCTTTTCAGGAAGGTCACAGCAGCAGCCATCACGACGATTGATGGACCCTTCGAAGCACTAAGGTCGCCGCCGCACATTGGAGAACTTCTCCGATTCTACATTCGTACATCTCAGTTACCTCACAGCAAGATACAGTTTATATTACAAGGTGAACGAGTTTCGCCGCTGTCAGGGCTGGAATCCAGATGTTTTCCAGCTGAACACCTCGATGGCTATCTCGATCACCACTCTTTGGGGAACTTATTCGTCAGAGTTATAATCGGAGCATTCTTGGCCGTAAACAGGGGCAGCAGGAACGTTACGGATCGACTGTTGTGATAGTTCGTTATTCCTTGAACGGGTTCCTCGTGATACTTAGCGGTGATATGCGGGTGACCGACGTGTTTCGGATGGTGCTCTTTGACGTATACTACATCTTTATAGGCTACTTTCCCCGGGACGTGGGAGAGATGGGCCGACGGGGGAGGTATATGCACTGTTTTCGGTCCGTAATGTGCTGAATGGGCGTGAGCATAAGAATGAGCATCTGTCGGGTGCGGAGCGTGAGCGTAAGCTCCTTCAGAAGCCATGGCCCACTTGGAGAAC